CTGCTAACTGGACTGTAAATGAAGTCCTCCTCCCAAGTTGAAATGTTGTTTACAATCTGTAGACAACTTCCTGACACGTGAGCGATGTCCGACTTCTGCGCAGGGCGTTGTCTCTCATGGACCAATCAAAATGCAGCATTTTGAATCCTTTCAGATTCCCGCGATGTGACGTCATCGGTGTTGCAGGAAAAAGATCCGTGTAAAATCTTGTGCAGTCGTTGATTTCTTCATCAACACTCGTCCTTGTCCGTACCCTCCCGAAGTTACACGAGTGACCACGTGTATAGAGGGCTAAATGGAGGGCGAAAAATTCCGCCGCGTGATACAGCTGTAGGTAGACTGTCTCCCTGGCTGCTGTGACTGTTCCTTGTTTTAAACATATTTTATTCAGGAGAAAAGGATTGGGTACAAGTTATACAACTTAGAACACCCTCTCCGTAGTATTTACATAGTATTATTTACATTCATTCTACAAGATGGACAGAGAAGAACAGAGCAGAAATATGGGAAAAAGAGGAACAATTGCAACATTTAAGAAAATCGTTTTGAATGACAAATATATGTTTGAACAATTTTAAATATGTTTTGATTTATGTGAACAGTCAGATCTGCATTGCCATGTAATAGTAACTCATAGGTTATATCCACATTTGTAATACTGCGTAAATTAGTCATCATGATAGTTCTCTGTACTGTATATAATTGACAGTCAAATAAGTAATGATGAGAATTTTCACAAACATTTCCACAAGAACAACTTGGGTTATCTCTTAAACCAGCACGGAATAGATCATAATTCAACTGACTACAGGTGTAACGTAGTTTTGTAAGGATGATGTTAGTGATTCTCGGTTCCTGTTCCTTCATTCCTGAAGATAATGCAGTCGTCATCTTATACAGATGATCAGTTGAAATTCCATACTTGCTTAGGGCTGTTGCTTGTAGACTGTATTCATCGATCTTAATGAAGTGTCGTATAAAAAACCCTTTGTGTTGAATACACAAAGGTTTTTGTAGAGTTGATACTTATAACTTCAGTGTAAGTTCTACCCCGGTAGTCGTTGATGATCTTGTAGTTCACATCAATCTTTGAAGCCTTCATGAAGGGTTCCATGTGGAGTAGTGGGAATTCCCTGGCTTGGACGTCGGGGATATGTTGACTGTGGAACTTCATAACCTTACCAAGGTTGCGCTGAAATTCTCCGGTATTATCTATCAAGTCGTTATCTCTGATCCGCGACGACGTGAGTGCCTGAAGATCTGCACGCAGGTGAATGATCTGTATATGGACATGAGTCCCTCCTGGATTCTTAAGAAGCATCTTTAACCTTCATGAATGTGTAGGTTCTCAGCGTAGAGGAGTTTTTTGCAGTTAATCCCGCTACCCTCTTCTGATGTAGATATATCTTTTTGAAGATCCTGAATCCTTTCTGGAGATCAGTCTGAAGATCTGCCTGAAGACCTGCCTGAAGATCTGCATGATCGAGATGAGGGTCTCGTTGATAGCTCTTGACCTGTCTAACTGTGAGACAGGGTCGATAGGTGGAATCGTGAGTGTGTCTATATCATCATTCAACATCAAGTACGAGAGTGCTTTATTGGCCTCCTTAGAGGGTGATGCAAGTTCCAAACCGTTGGCCATCAATGACCTGATTTCAGAGTCGGAAATGTTTTTTAATAATTCCGCCGTCATCTTCCGATTTAGCAGTATCATGCTCTGAGGATTGATGTCTCCTAGTGTCGGGAGATCTGTAAGGCGATCTGTATGAAGATCTATGTGGTGATCTGCGTGGTGATCTGTATGGAGACCTGCGTGGTGAGCTTCGTGGCGAACCATACGTTCGCGCGAACCTGCGTGTAGGTGAACAGCTCTGTCGAGGGTTGGAGTCTTGTGACGAATCTCTGTGCCTTGGCAGTGGTGTAGATTCTCTTCTCCTTGGTAACGAACACTTGCGCGCAGGTTCGTGACGAATGTTCGCATCTGAGGTAGATGACAATCTGCGTGGGTTCGGCGAACGTCTTGTCCTTGAGTGTTCGCCGAACGTAACTGGTGTAGGCTCTACGTTGGTAGGACTTCCAGACCTTTGTGCGGACGTTGTAGTCATGCTTGCGTGCAGGTTCGTGACGGACGTCCGTATCTGACGTCGATGGTGATCTACGTGGGTTCGGCGAACGTCTAGTCCTTCCGCCGAACGTAGTCGGTGCAGGTTCCACGTTGGTATGGCTGCCAGATATTCGTGCGGACGCTGTAGTCGAGCTGGAATCTTCCTGTACGCTCTGCAGGACGTTGGTTCCCAACGGACGTGGTGTGCAGCTCAGTTGACCTTCACTCGGGTTCGTCGCAGACGTCGTCTTCGTCGCAGCTCTCTCGCGTGCGAACCGTTGTTCCATCAGATCCAACATCTGTTGGGTAAATTGCTGCATAAAGGCGCCCGGGTTGAAGGTCTGTGTTGTCTGTTGTAACGACGACGCATCTGAGACGGATGAGGCTTCTTCCGAAGGCCGTTGACCCTCTCTGCCGAACGTCTGCGTTGATAGGTTGTCCCTTCGTGAGTCACGTAGAAGACGCCTTCATCTCTTCTTAGATGTGATCTCAGGGCAGAGGATATATTCATTCCAGAGGGATCTATTTCTTCCAGAGGGACGATCTTTTCTGCATTGCCCCATGTCGAGACTTCGAGGCGAAGTCTTAGTTGTAGCTGACTTCTTCCTCTGGGAAGATGATGCCCTAGTCTTCTTAGACTGCGATGAGTAATTATCAGATGTAGATGACCTCTTCCTCGGGCCAGCGTTGTCTACGGCAGAAACCTCCTCCGTAGACGACCCCGTAGACCACTGGAATGGTGAATCTGCGCAGACACCAACTGCAGGTCCTCTGCAAGCTTAGCCGGTTTAGACATGTCGTGTAAATCTTGTCTGGACCTGTCCTTTGCACGTCTAGACAGATAATATGAATATTTGTAAAATGCACTATCAGACAGGTGAAAACACAACTGACAATGAGAGTCAGATAAACATACGGGCTTGCAATTAGGACATAGGTTATGTGGATCAACAGCAGACAATCGATACCTACAACCAGAACAAGATTTCATCAATTGTAAACAATCTGAACAGTCACGTAAAAATGTGATAAAACAGAGAAATTTGAGAATTAATTCCGTAGAATATTGTAGGTAAATGTTAACTAAAGCCTTATACAGCTAATTTAGAAGAAAGGCCTAAATAATAAAAGGATATAATGCCGTATAGGGGACAAGGTGCTCTCACAACCGCCCACTCGTGCGAATCAGGAGAGAGTGAGGAGCATGGCGACAGGTGGCGCCGTTTTCCCGCCAAAACCTGGGGAAGGGAGATGACTCCTGGTGAGTGATTTTACGTCCGCTTTTTTGAAGGGAGCTTCAAAAGGGGATTCAAGTGTTCCACTAGCATTCGGAAGGAAAGGGAGACAAGCAATAAGCATGAGTCAGGATAAGGAAAAATTGTACAAATATAAGAAGTAAGTAAAACCACTATTCATCCTCGCAATAAACTCCTACTCATGTTTATGTTTTAATTCTTATTACGACATTATACATACCTAGGCCTGCTTTATGTAATAAAGCAACAAGGGGAAAATTCAGATACAAAGAATAGTACTGGCAAGCATAAAGACGATGAACGTTTACATGATAAACATTATCAAAGTTCATGATAAATTTGCATACTTTTACATAGTCTCATCATAACCACCTAGTTAACTCCGACTTTGCATAGATTGAAATCTTCCAAAAGGATATGAGTTTGTACATTTTAGCCAGCAGTCAAGCAAATGTGCGTTCCATTAATACCATTAGATGCTAAACACGAACTTGTGCGCTCAAGATACTAACTTGTGCGCTCAAGATGTTAACTTGTGCACTCGAGATGCTCAAGATGTTCAAGATGTTGCACTCGAGATGTTAACTTGTTTGCTTAAGAAAACTAACTTGTGTGCTATATATATTAACTTGTGCACTCAATATACGAACTCGTGCGCTACATTTTATTTGATCAGGTCCCTTCAGTGCTTCCTTCCATAAAGTATTGATTAAAGCGTCCGTAATATAGACTTATTCATGTGAAGACAGACAGCACATGCGCATATATACTGCTTGTTATAAAGAGGGATGCACTTTGTTTACAAACCAAGGTTAGATCAACTATTATGTTGCTTGTAGTGTTGCAACATGTTTTCAGGTTGTGCAGGCAAACAGGAATGAATGTATGTCTAATGGTAAGTAAGCTGCTTAACAGAGGGAGAAGAAGATAGTCACCCTCTCACATCTTAACACTGGACGAACATACTTTAATACTGGACAGTCGTCCATCTAAATACAGGTACACATCTTAATATTGAACAAGCACAGACACCTTAATAATGAAGAGATACACACTAATACAGTAGAGATACGCTCACACATCTTTAAGTGTAAAAACACACATCTTAACAGTGGAGAAAACACTGAGACATATCAATAGTACTGCAAACAAAAACACAACACACACACGTTTCTTTATAATGGAGAAACACACTCACACATCTTGATGCTGAAGAAAGAGCCTCCCTACTGAGGTTGTTCCTGAATATTCAATAGTGTGACTGAAAGCAGAACTGACAATCCACGATACAACCACAGGCAATCAGTTGTAGTTTTTACTGGATCAAATTTAGTTCCTTCTTATAAATCACCAATGGGGTGCCAGGAATCTATTCTAACGGGGCAGTTGGGTAGCCTAGTGGTTGAAGCATTTGCTCGTCACGCCAAAGACCTGGGTTCGATTCCCCACATGGGTACAATGTGTGAAGCTTATTTCTGGTGTCCCTCCCCATGATATTACTTGAATATTGCTTAAAGTGGCGTAAAACTATACTCACTCACTCACTCTATTCTAACATAAGTGTCCATCGGGAACCTATGGGGAACAAATATATATTGTATTGAAAGTGAAACCTCCCACTCTAAGACAAAAATCCTGTATAAAAAATAAATCAATTCAAGTTTTATTTCATTCATACACAAAATATAAGTACAAGTATAAGTGATGATGTTTCAGTCAAAATGAGGTGATGTAATCTATTTCATAACAATTTTAAAATTATGCATAATATCACCATAATTCCCTCTGCAAACCCAACTATATGCAAATGATTACTGAACTACCCTAGGGTAGAGTAGTGACATGGTAGACATGCTATGACACCAAGGCCCCTCTAACACCCATATGCTAATATTGTTTTCTGAAAGTACAGACTCTGCTTGCATGCCTATTTACATCAAGTACATACATTATTATACATATATATTGTCTGATAAGATCAGGCTGGTATATAAATGCACAGCAACACAATGTACATGATACAAAATAACATACTATTCATGATTTGAGAGCCACGAATAGCTGCAAAATTGCTGATGGGACCTAAAGCAACATTTATTACTCATGATTTGATCAAAGGTTGTACCAATATCACATGACCTACATTTGTAAAGGGCAATAACTCTCCCACGAGTTACAATGCTTACATTTTGAGATGTCTCTTCACATTGTCTTCAGAATATGAATGTTTATGTATATATATATATGTTACTAATAAAGCAATATAGAAATGGCAAGTACAAGATATTTTCAGTCTCAGGCACATTGAGATGAATAAATGTACAGATAAAAAGCAGATCTAAGTGTTAGAAGATATATAAGTGAAAATGATTTGTGACATGTTTGAAGAATATTATTCTTATATCAAGACAGTATGCACGTAAAATGTCCATGACTGTTTTCTCTATATGCCTATCCTCCTTTGAGATCTGTAGTGAACTTGTTCAGTACATTGAGTAGAATTTCCCTCTGGGCCTGTTGCCCAATGAAGCGAGTGAGAGTCTCAATCCCTGTTGACCCTACCACTTCTTGAACTTGACTGACGAGTCGCTTCTTGTCTTTATCCGTCAGTTCCTTCAGTACCTTGATCATTGATTGGTACTCATCACTCCTACAGTAGCCAATCACAGACCCTGACAACAAATGAAACACACACTGAAAACACGATCAGAAATTGTTGGTTTGATATGCAAAGGTCTACTGAACGCAAAAATATGCATGCAGTTCACACAAGCATCTAAAATGGATGCAGTAAAAAAGTATAAATAGAGTCCTTTAAATGACCAAAATATTTATTGTACAAATTCTTGAAAAAATATTAAGTTCCTGTTATTATGTAATATTTATTACAACTCAAAGTACACACACACAAAAAGAGAATAATTATCAGAAATACAATTGAATGAAAGAATTTAGGTTCTGTTAGTAACTCCTGTATTGTGAAACAGACATGTTTTTCAGTTTCAAATTTATATATACTCTACTGAAATAAAACATCCTTCTTTTCTAGTAAGTGAGATGAACTTCCCTCTTTCATCTACTCTTTCATCTACTCCGGAAATTAGTTATCTAAATAAAACATCCTTCTTTTCTAGTATGTGAGATGAACTTCCCTAACTCTAACCTGTTTACTTTTACAAACATCCTCAGTGCTTAAATGATCCTAATTGTGCCAGTAGCAAATTAGTTACCACCTTACTGACGAGACCTAATTGTCACACCACTTGTCCCAATTTTGGCAGTGAGATACAACACCTGCATGGTTCAGTGCACAACAGACTGCCAAAAATGGGAAATCATCTTTTCTGACACAGTTTTTCTCAAAGTTACTCCTTCAATAAGTTTTGATAATCACTTGATATTTAGTTTGTGATGATCAATTTCTGTGATCTGTATCAATAACCAACCCTACACTTACATTATTTCATTGCTTTGCAGGGTCACACAAATTACCTGTTGTAATACCTGTAGTTAACTATCGTCGATAATATTTTACTTAACCAAGACAAAACCTGTTTTAAATAAAGGTAGAGGAAACCTATTCCTTTCCATCATGAATATAAAATGTTTGATTTCTAATTTTGTTTACAAACCTGCAAGCCCTCCAATCATGGCACCAACAGGTCCACCGACCACACCACCAGCAATGGTACCCCCAGCTCCCCACGCCACTTGCTTGAATATACCTGCACAACAAACGAGCATTGAAGTCATCTTGCCTGAATACATCTGAACAACAAACAGGAAGTCATTTTACTTGAACAAATCTGAACTACAAACAAGAACGTATGTCATCTTGCTTGATTATATCAGAACTACAAACAGGTAGGTATATTTCATGTAAATATACTCGTATTCCAGCCAAGGCCTGCATTGGGCACTCCTTGGTATAGTGCTCAGGCGCCTAGTTATATGCTGGACTGGTAGGTATACTGGCTAGCAAACAGTTATCGCCGCATAACAGTTATCGCCAATCCATCAGTATCACACGTGTGCAGTTCCGGTCAATTACAATTCCCATATTTTTTCCCCACTTTATTTGACAACAATAAAGGACAGCAAAAGAAACTTTTGCACGGTAAGTAAGATAAGAGAAAAATTATGAATCCTAAATATGGCGATAACTGTTCGGTAGCCAGTATAGATCTATCTTCTGGATCATGAAACACCTGGGATGTGACATTGTAAAATCTCAAATAAAGCTTGTCTTCAAGATACAGTTTTTTCTTAAAATTTATTACAGTCGTTCACATGAATAGAAACATAACAAGAACTGTTTCCTAAGTGTCCGGAAACAGGAGTACGAAGATACGGGGAGACGGTGTTTTCGTAGGCTGAACCAGTTCGTAGACGCGGTGGATTCGTAGCCCAGATTGGTTCGTAGACGGTGATTTCGTAGATATGTATAAATAATTGAATAATAGTAACCAAATTAGTCTCCTGTACTCATCTGCGGTACCTGTGGCACTTTTCTTTAGCTCCTGGTTTGTTTCCAACAACGTCATTAAGTGGTTGTAGTAGGGCACAAAGGCCATTCCAAGAACGTTCGCAGCCATGGTACTAGAACTACCTGAAACGTACAAAAACGTCGTCGTAGATGTACAACAACATGACTGTAGAAAGCCCTCCGACATATGCAACGACAGACTGTTTTGTGAACAATAGTTACAAAAATTGAACACTTGTAGTACTTCACAGTGACTATTACCTGCCTGTCAGACAAGCCCTTTCCCTGGAAAACACGTCGGCTAATGTAATTTCACTTTCAACATTAAATCATTTCCGCGCAGATTGGTTTATTTACAAAGGGGGGTAACTCTCAGGGAATATCCTTTATAGTCCATTTCATCATTGTGTACCAACAAACCACATCGCCTCGTCTAAACGAGTCAGGTGGTGGCCTTCAAGCGTGACGCGAATAATGAAATGAGGATAGTAAGAGAGCTAGTTGTATGTTTGCTGTTAGCAAAGACAACGCAGCCAGATGGATGCTCCTTTCCAACTGCAATATATTGAAAGGCAGGGAAGACTCAACAAGAGAAATTAATTATATACATGTATGTACAATAGTCCCTGAGCCACACCTTGAAAATATTGATTTGACTACCAAATTGAGGGGCAAACAGTCACTATGATTTTCATATAGCTTAAGGTATGTACCTTTTGAAATTTACGTGATGGACACCTCCCATGCCCAGATGGCTGCCAAAAACCTATTTAGCTGGGCATGGGAGGTGTCCATCAGGTAATTTCATAAAGTACATACCTTAAGCTATATGAAAATCATAGTGACTGTTTGCCACTCAATTTGGTAGTCAAATCTCATCTGGCTCATGGACTACAACATAGTCACCGACGATTGAAGAATATAGCACTGGCCTTGTTCCAGTCAAGTTAATCTTCGTATTTACTATAAAATGATTCATAACCCACTGGACATGACATGTCATACTAGGAAATATTTGGACTGGTCACATGTATTACTTTCATCACGTATTCAGTAACCACATGACGTCGAAATGAACTTGAGTTGACCACACGTGGCTTCTACATACTTCATGTATAGCCTGCGTGTTGTACACAGTCATAACGTCGGGCTGTGTCTTACCCTAGGAGTCTTTAGCACTGAAAACTAGAGATTTATAGTGAAGATAAGCAAAACCATACATTTAGCATTCAGCAATCTTTCAACAATATCAATAAAATCCATTTGAACTGCTCTAATTTCTTTCACCAAATGAATGCACACAGCGCTAAGAAACTAATACTTACATCGGTCACTTGAAACTGCACCCGAAGCTAACTGTTAGACGCTAGATTCACATTAAAATCTCTTTCTACCGGGTACCCATTCACTGCTGGGGTGAACATATTCATATATCGAGCAAATTCTTTTGCCAAATGACATACATATATATGTAAAGTGTGGAGTTGGTGAGATGCCCTAGAAACTAAGGAGGGGAACTGCCGAACACGGTCTCTCATCCAAACTTTGTGACAGCATCATATCGTCTTTATCTGATTGTGCAGGAGTAAATGAATTATGCACACACTTACAATCATGGTGTCTGTGTTGCCAAAACACCACATATATCCTTTACAGTATTGTGCGTGAGATATCAGGATTTTCTTGCGCTGCACTACGTGTAAAGCGCCAACAGTATAAACACAGCCAGTTTTTTACTATTAGAAGTAAGGCACACCTAAAAATACCAGGATTATCAGCGTGAACGAGAGATTAGGGTGTCGCAGGTGGGGGCATCGAACAGCCATACTGCCAGAACGTCCGCCCGGCTACACAAAGCAGGTCATCACCAGACTAATGAGACGCGTCACCCTGACTGGCCAGACATCTGACAGTTCAAGAGTGAGTTTAGTTTTAAGCAGCATTTTGCAATATTCCATCAATATTACGGCGGGAACACCAGAAATGGGCTCCACACATTGGACACATGTGTGGAATCGAACCCGGGTCTTCGGCGTGACAAGCGAACGCTTTACCCACTAGGTTACCCAACCGCCCGACAGTCCAAAAACTGGAAGACCGAGAGTGATCACCCAGCAAGATTACTGTAATAGGGTGAAATAAAAGCATTTATATTATCTTCATGTGTTGCGTTATTTTTATCAAAATGTATATACATCTGTGTTGTTTTGGGTTCAACAGAGGTTCATTGTGTTCAGAATAAGCAGTTGTCGGCAAGTAGTGTTTTAAGTGCTTAATGCAGGTCTCTGATTGTTTTGGATCATTCCATTACAAGGTCATAGGGCAATTAGGTTATTCTATCTTTCTGTCAGTGATGTGATTTGTAATGATAACCAGGTTGATTGGGATTGACTTATTTCAAATCATAGGTCATCAGCCATTTTCACTTAAACAGCACTTGTCACACTCACCTGAAGTGCTCAGCACGTGTCAGCATTACTTGATGTGCACAGCAAATCAACATAGTAAATACGCTACTTCTAAGGTTAGTAATTATAGTACATTATTGCTATATAGTTTTAATAATACATAAATAACATAAATAAGTATCATAAGTAAGCATTTTCAGCACAGCATTTGATAGTGTAATTAGCAAATGTATGAATACTCTTATGCGAGAATGTGTGTATGAGTGATGATTTTATATATAACTATATTACTAGTGTGATTGGATTATGCATATTTATATGTATCAAACAATGAAGCAAACCTTTCCTTGTAATTATATTTATTGTATAAGTTGCGTCTGAACTATTCTCAGTCACGCAACGTATATATTTTCATGTGTTATATTTGCTTGGCGCAGGTATCACATTCCTGTAGTATGAGGAAGGTTGACCGCCGGTAGCAACACTCCCGTGTCACCCACAGGGTACGCATTTTATAATCCATTTCATTATATATGCATAAGTGATGTATTTGCTTATTGTTGTATATTTGTATTGTTGCCTTGTATCATGTACTTGACTACGTGATACTATATCATAATTTGGTGAAAACATTTGTATGAAACATATATATGTATGTGTAATTCTAACGGTTTGAGCATATGAAGTATGCATTATTACAGATAGTAATGTACCTGTAAATATATGCTTATTGATGTTATGTAATGTAATGTGATGTAATATGTATGTTTATATTTTAACCCCTGAATGAAAGTGTACTTATGATTATGCTATTGTTACAAAGTGTTAACTGATATCTACTGTCTACTGACTCCCAGAATAAACGAGTTGACCTCACACCCGCAGCCTTTATTCTCATTGACTTAGAGGGTAAATCCCAGGCCGCAACATTACTACCACCTGCGCATTCTTTATTTGGTTGGTTGGTCGTTAAACGCCGCACTCAGCAAAATTCCAGCTATGTGGCGTATGTGTCTGTAAAAATCGAGTCTGGGTCAGACAATCCAGTGATCAACATCATGAACATCGATCTTCGCAACTGGGATACGATGACATGTGTCAAACAAATCAGCGAGCCTGACCACCTGATCCTGTTAATCGCCTCTTACGACAAGCATGGATTGCTGAAGACCAATTCTAACCAGGATTTTCACGGGTTTCAATCTCTATTTACACAACCCGATGCTCACATGGACGCCATAAGCATCAACGGGAAGACAGTGATGAAACGATGCTGTTGGCATCGCGGTCTCTCGACCAATTCGGGGCATGTCATGAACCGTTAACATCAGCTGAATCGTCTTGAGAACATGAGGCGCTGGCAAGGCTGAATTTGGGTACGATATCTGTGCTGTTTTGGCAATACCTACACAATGTGTGTGACTTTAACCATTTACTTTATTTGTTTTTTTTCTTATTAAAATAAATAATTTTAAAAATCTTACGAGACCAGGCGTCTTCTGTACGTCAGTGTAATACACGTGCAATGCTTCTGATATAGAGCAAAGTAATAGTACTGAATAGTAAAAATGTTTTTTTGTGTGATGTGTTATATTGCTAGATTGATAATCGCATTGTAATACAAAAATACGCATTAAAACATTTAATGACAATATTATTTATTTAATTAATTGACATATTTTCTTATACATATTAGACAATCACAAATGATAATGTTCGACCAGAAAACGGCGATGCAATAGGAATACTACCTTTCAGTTGAGTTTATCATGAGTTTGAAATTTCAACCGAAAAGAGAAGCTACATAAATATAACTGTACGTTTGATATTTCTATATAATATATTATTTTCTTAATATATACTAGTATGTCGTTATATTATAGAATATAAATATAACAATATTATAGTACCTGTTCGCCTAATACACAACTACTAAAAGGTATCTTATGTTAAAAGCATCTTATCTTTGAAAATGAATAAATTATCTGTTCTTCTCCACAAGTTTACGTTTCAAACAAGATAGGGGAGCACTAAGCTGCAGATTCTTCTTTACCACGGCCTTCACTGAACATGTTTGTTACTGAAATGACATAACAAAGTTTAACTACAGTTCTTTAATTTTTCAAGTTTATATAAAACAGACAAGTCGGTATACTTTCTGTTGTCCTTCAGCTTAGATGGATGTTGACATCGGTAGTAGTGAGATACTCTTTGACAACCACAGTTTTGTCAATGTGGAAGAGTTGACAGCAATCTTGATGTGACCAACTGAAGGATAGAGTAAGCGAGTTCAGCTTTACGCCGCTTTTAGCAATATTCCAGCAACATCACGTCGGGAAACACCAGAAATGGGCATCACGCATTGTGCCCATGTGGGTAAGCGATTTATCCTATATTATAACACTTTGCCTAAGTAGGTTTGTACAGTAGTGTGTTTTTCATCTGGATCTGTCCAAGAATATTGCCCAGACCCCCACCCCCAATATCATATAGCCACAATCATCGAACACTTCTCACATCTAAACCGGCAGTGTCATACAGTGAGTTTAGTTTTACGCCGCTTTTAGCAATATTCCAGCAATATCACGGCGTGGCACCAGAAATGGGCTTCTCACTTTGTACCCATGTGGGAATCGAACCCGGGTCTTAAGATAAGATAAAATAATGCTTTATTATCCCGAAGGAAATTTGCTTTGCACGGTTAACATTGAAAACACATACAATACAACAAAAGATGCATATACATAAAACCACATAAAATACCCATACATATGTCAAATAGTACTAAAACAGCTAGCAACAACGCCTAATATATTAGGTAAAGATAAATGATGAATAGATAATAATAATATATTTAAGATTCAAGGCTATATAGTGACGACATTAAATTTTTTGCTGAGGAACATTAGCACTAAAAGTATATTTATAGAACAGTTTGAAACAAAGTATTATAAAATGATAAACAAACATTAAAATAATTCATTTAAAACACTGATGCTTGCTGGGATGAATGAATTTCGAGCCCTGTTTGTTCTGAATATCGGCGTGCGCAGTCGTCGGCCAGAAGGAAGAAGTTGAAATTCAGGAAATGGGACATGAGAGTTGTCATTTAAAATCTTACGTGCTTTCTTTTCAATTTGCTGCCTGTAAATAGTGCCAATATCTTGCATTTTACTTGCTGTGTTAACAATTTTGGAAAGTTTACATCGATTGTGAACAGACAGACCCCCCATATCAGCAATGCACATTGAAAACTAAAATGCTTTGAATAAACGAGTTATAGAATAATGACAATATGGTTGTGTCAATCTTAAAGTAACGAACACGACGTAGGAAGTATAGCCGCTTTAGTCCTTTCTTGTATATGTAATCAGTATTGCTGTTCCAGGTGAGCTTAGAATCTATCATTGTGCCAAGATACTTACTAGTATGTTCCTCAACTCTATCTATGGTTTCGTTATCAATGGCAATTGGCAACAGCTCACTGTTGCTTTTCCGAAAATCAATAATCATCTCTTTTGTTTTCTTAACATTTAATTTAAGGAAGTTGATGTTACACCAAACAAGAAATTTAGTGATTTCAGAGCGATAAATCCAGCGAGTGCGGCGTCATCTGCAAACTTTACAGTTAAACATCGTGAAAAACTACTGATTCAGTCATTTGTATATACAATTAATAAAACCGGAGAAAGAGCACAACCTTGCGGGGCACCAGTGGATACGAATGTTGTTGCTGATTGGGTGTTATTAACAGTTATAAACTAGGGGCTATTTACGAGAAAAGATTCTATCCATTTTATAACACATGGGTTGACTGACATATTACAGAGCTTTTGCATTAAAATGTGAGGCTGGATGATATTAAAAGCTGAAGAAAAGTCAGCAAACAGAATAATTACATAGGAATTGGAAAGTTCTAAATGTTTGTAAATATTGTTTAACAAAGTGATGGTAGCGTCCTCGACACCTCGCCCAGCCCTGTAGGCAAACTGAAGAGGGTCGAGAAGATGCTTTGTTTCTTACAGGAGCAGACGCTTTACAACTCTTTCCAAACATTTCATAGGTATAGGCGTCAGTCAAAGCAACTGGACAGAAGTCATTATCAACGGTAGGCAAGGGACTGGAATAATATTTGAAGTGTTCCAAATGTTTGGGATAGAATGATTGTTGATAGAAATTTGAAAAATTGTGTTTAAAATGTGGGATAGGTGTTCACGAGATTCTTTTAAAACTTTACCACAAAGATTATCCGGACCAGTTGCTTTGTGAACATTGATTTTAGAAAATGAATTGAGAATATCAAAGGGAGTTAACTCAATCACACTCTCATCAGATCTTCGCCGTGACCACCAAGCGCTTTAATCCATCGGCTGGCCCACCACCACCATACAGTGGATGAGAAAGGACATTGCTTATCAAAAGTTGTTCCTGTAACCTCATTTGCATATTTAGCGGATCGCAGTTTTCGGACTGGTTGATCGGATCTATCACAAAACAGTGGGTGTGGGCTAGTTGATCTGAATGATTTTCTAATTTGACTGATGTTTCCATCTGTTACTTAGTTTTGTTTTTGACAGCCCTCGTGGTACGACTTGTGTTTCTCTAGGACCAAAACGCTATATTTTGGACACACAACACCTTTTTTTCAAGATTTAAAGTTGTACCAGAAAACTACGTGTTACCAAGATGGCCATGGAAAAGAAGAGGCTATAAGTTCACTATATGTGTGAAGGTTCATAGGCGGATCCAATAATTTTCAAAAGGGGTGGAAGGGGTGGGGGTGGGGGTTGTTGGTGTGTGCGTCGGTTAGTCATTTTCAAAGGGGAGGGGTGGGGATTCGAACCCCGTGAACAAACATAGACACACACACACATACACACACACACCATCCCACCCACCCCCACACCCCTCCCTTGGATCCGGCAATGAAGGTTCAGTGTAGTCAAACAGGATACGTAATAACTTTTTTCTGCGATAGTGGGTTGTGATGAAGCATGTGAGATTCTCCTTCTTCGGCGAACAAATCAATCTATGAATCTTTGAGACCAAGTTATCCCTTTCTTTCTCCGTCAAGCCAATCAAGGCACCAACCATAGACTTGTACCTGTCGATCTCCCAGTAGAACAACAGACTCCCTGCCAAAGAAGCAAAATATATATACACCAACAGGTGGGGAAAATTCCGATAAAAGAGAACCGCGCCAAAGCTGTTATCAAATAATTTCTTTTTCAAAAATTTCAATGTAAATTTTAGGAAGAATAATGCACGTAATTTAACTGCCTTCTTAAGCAGGTGTCTTTTTACTTTATTTTCAATACCGTCAAAAACAATATACGAAAAATAATATTTTTAAAGAAAACTAAATGGTTATGTTAAGTATTGACATGCTTTTAATGTATTTTATCGTTGAAGATATAATTTCGGTAGGAAGAAATAAAAAAGGATTTTTAATTTCAATACATTTGTGAAATTATTGGTTGGCATATCCTTAATCGCTTTATTAAAAAAACATCGGCCACCATTCGACCAAAACCAACATGAAGCAATAACACATGTTGGTCAGGATTTTATTAAATACATTTTGAAAGCTTTGGAATAAACCTTTAGACTTGATGGCCCTAAATTATATATTCTCATCTTGCTGAAAGTGGTAAATTTCAACATATGTTTAATTTGGGAATACCCTTTCTTAGTTTACTACACATTTTACCATTTCTTGGGTTTGAGAGCCCTACTAGATTCGAATCCATACTCTCAGAGAGAGACACAACGAAGTGATTGATGTACACACTCAGCCGCCGAGGCTCGCACAGAAATGGATGTCCGACAACTGATAGTCTAGATCACGTACCCCTTTGTGTACTCCTCTGACAAGTAAATATTGGCACAGCTTCCATGGCCGAAGGCTATGAAAATGCAATGACTTTATAAACACTAGTTCTGTTGGAGGTTGAGTAAGATCGAGGATATGAACATACGCTGTGGAAACCAGCACACAAAGTCAGCGATATAACCTACACACAAGACAAATGACCACCAAGGCTCCAACAAAAGTGGAAGTCAAGCATTCGTAGTCTAGGTCACATACTTTGTGCACCTCCCTGACCAATGTAAATTCGTTTGGCGCCCATGGCCGATGGCTTATAGAAAAAGATAAATTTGCCAATTGCCTCTTTTGTCTCAAATTATCAATACTAATAAAGGTACATATAAAATTGGTGGATATATTTGAGATATTCTCTTCATAAATTAGCGGATTTGTGAAACATGGTTGTCCTTGAATAGCAAAAAGGGAGTGTTTTCTACTCCTCTTACAGTTCAGTTACATGCTTGATAAACACGCTACAGGTGTGCGACATGTACAACTGCTTATGTAAAAACCTGATACACTCGCCACAGGTGTGACACATGTATCACCTGTGTTGTAAGTACAGGTGCAAACACTGCAGTATAATGACCCGAAAAACATTGTCACTCTGAACAAACCTGCTACTGCTGCCGAAATACAAAACACCCAGAATCCGAGAATGACCCAGCGATTGGCCAAATCGATTTTCAAGAACACCTGCAGATGAAGAGGATTTGCAGATTATATTTCGATAGAAGAGACGTCAATGAATACAAACACAAGATGCTAATTTAATTACGTGACAATGTATCCTAAACTGAGAGAGTTGGGGTTTTAAGGTCATTTATAACACTATTTTAATAGTTTCGCGGGTCATAGATGTCTACAAGGATATGATCAACGATTAGATGGGCAACCGATTTTCAGATATTTTTATATTTCCATTTCACATGAACCCTTTGATACATTCATTGTTTGATTTACAATTATTACACATTCTATGTCATTTTTCAGGTTAATCGGATCCTTCAACTGGTACTGTACACAAGTCATGATCCGTTTGATGAGAAATAGATACGAAATTTGATTGTGTTCAAATAATTATTTATCGTGGCCGTATCTCCACAATGTACAGAATAATACAAATACCAGTCAACAGTTCCACTATACGTCCATAATTAGTTAGCGTCCACTGCACAGCAAATCCTGAAAGAGGATACATATTTAGGTCAATAGTCTCCTGATATTCCCCACTACAATAATGAGTTTCTATTCGGATAAATTCCAACAACACTTTTAGCGGATCCTCTGCGTTTTCATATTAATGCGATGTCCATATGGCTGGAGATTTGCTGTTTGCAGCGTTGAACAACAAACAAAACACTAAAATGACACCGATGACAGTAACTCTGTCCACCACAGTGGAAAGATATCAGAGTGGGATTTTATTGAAAACATTCGTTACCATTCGCCCCTTTCTGTAACCAACGAGATGACTGTCCCGGAATAAGACGAGTTGGTCGCAATTTTACTCAGTACATTTTGCAAGCTTTGGAATGGCTTGAATACCCTAAATCATACACATCTAGCTGATATGTATGATTTGAAATTGGCTATTGGAGAGGGAGGTGTGTATATTATCATCGATTACTGAATTGTACAAACTTAAATCATGAAAACACAATGGTTTTTGGAAAGTGGTAAACTTTAACATATGTTTAATTTGGGAATACCCTTTCTTTGTTAAGTACACATTTTACCATTTCTTGGGTTTGGGAGCCCTACTAGATTCGAATCCATACTCTCAGAGAGAGACACGACGAAGGGATTGATGTACACACTCAGCCGCCGAGGCTCACACAGAAATGGATGTCCGACAACTGATAGTCTAGATCAGGTACCCCTTTGTGTACTCCTCTGACAAGTAAATATTGGCACAGCTACATCCATGGCCGAAAGCTATGAGATGGCAATGACTTTATAAACACTAGATCTGTTGGAGGTTGAGTAAGATCGAGGATATGAACATACGCTGTGGAAACCAGCACACAAAGTCAGCGATATAACCTACACACAAGACAAATGACCACCAAGGCTTCAACAAAAGTGGAAGTCAAGCATTCGTAGTCTAGGTCACATACTTTGTGCACCTCCCTGACCAATGTAAATTGGTTTGGTGCCCATGGCCGATGGCTTATAGAAAAAGATAAATTTGCCAGTTGCCTCTTTTGTCTCAAATTATCAAAACTAATAAAGATACATATAAAATTGGTGGATATATATTTGAGATATTCTCTTCACTAAATTAGCGGATTTGTGAAACATGGTTGCACTTCTCGAGAAAAAGGAGAGTGTGTTCCACTCCTCTTACAGTTCATCTATATGCTTGACAAACACCTTACAGGTGTGCGACATGTACAACTGCTTATGTAGAAACCTGATAGACTCGCCACAGGTGTGAGACATGTATCACCTGTGTTGTAAGTACAGGTGCAAACACTGCAGTATAATGACCCAAAAAACATTGTCACTCTGAACAAACCTGGTTCTGATATCGAAATACAAAACACCAGAATCCGAGAATGCCCACAGCAATTGATTGGCCAAGTCGATTTTTCAAGAACACCTGCAGATGAAGAGGATTTGCAGATTATATTTCGATAGAAGAGACGTCAATGAATACAAACACAAGATGCTAATTTAATTACGTGACAATGTATCCTAAACCGAGAGAGTTGGGGTTTTAAGGTCATTTATAACACTATTTTAATACTTTCGCGGGTCATAGATGTCTACAAGGATAAGATCAACGATTAGATGGGCAACCGATTTTCAGATATTTTTATATTTCCATTTCACATGAACCCTTTGATACATTCATTGTTTGATTTTCAATTATTACACATTCTATGTCATTTTTCAGGTTAATCGGATCCTTCAACTGGTACTGTACACAAGTCATGATCCGTTTGATGAGAAATAGATACGAAATTTGATTGTGTTCAAATAATTATTTATCGTGGCCGTATCTCCACAATGTACAGAATAATACAAATACCAGTCAACAGTTCCACTATACGTCCATAATTAGTTAGCGTCCACTGTACAGCAAATCCTGAAAGAGGATACATATTTAGGTCAATAGTCTCCTGATATTCCCCACTACAATAATGAGTTTCTATTCGGATAAATTCCAACAACACTTTTAGCGGATCCTCTGCGTTTTCATATTAATGCGATGTCCATATGGCTGGAGATTTGCTGTTTGCAGCGTTGAACAACAAACAAAACACTAAAATGACACCGATGACAGTAACTCTGTCCACCACAGTGGAAAGATATCAGAGTGGGATTTTATTGAAAACATTCGTTACCATTCGCCCCTTTCTGTAACCAACGAGATGACTGTCCCGGACGAGTTGGTCGCAATTTTACTCAGTACATTTTGCAAGCTTTGGAATGGCTTGGATACCCTAAATCATACACATCTAGCTTGTATGTATGATTTGAAATTGGCTATTGGAGAGGGAGGTGTGTATATTATCATCGATTACTGAATTGTACAAACTTAAATCATGAAAACACAATGGTTTTTGGAAAGTGGTAAACTTTAACATATGTTTAATTTGGGAATACCCTTTCTTTGTTAAGTACACATTTTACCATTTCTTGGGTTTGGGAGCCCTACTAGATTCGAATCCATACTCTCAGAGAGAGACACGACGAAGGGATTGATGTACACACTCAGCCGCCGAGGCTCGCACAGAAATGGATGTCCGACAACTGATAGTCTAGATCAGGTACCCCTTTGTGTACTCCTCTGACAAGTAAATATTGGCACAGCTACATCCATGGCTATTGCTAGCTATGAAAATGGCAATGACTTTATAAAACACTAGTTCTGTTGGAGGTTGAGTAAGATCGAGGATATGAACATACGCTGTGGAAACCAGCACACAAAGTCAAGATGTGCCTTAAAATAAGACCGTGAGGAAACCCAGAGTCTAAAAGGCAAAAGACAATTTGGAGAAAGTTACAATACAAGACAACGAGAGAAAAAGTACTTCTCCAAATTGTGGATTTCCTTAAGGCAAAATTGAAGGTTTAGACAGAGAAAAAGAAAATATGGGAAAAGAGCAACAAATATATAAAACACAATAAACTCGAGAAATAATGAAAAGCATTTTTTGCAGCAACTCAAGACAACGGCTGATGGTGAACATGATAAACGACCTCCCATGGATGCCAATGAAAGGTTCTAGAAATAGTTGTGGTCTGTACTCGGCGCCTGTAATCTTTAGGCACCATGGGTCCGTGATTACAATCACGCAGTGTATGACAAAATAACGGGGTCGTTTGTCTGTTACATCTCACCAGATTGCCTGAAAAGTGTTATTAATAAGTCCAATCTAATACAGTTCTAGGGCCTGATGGCATTCGAAACCTGCATTGGCAACAGCTCCCCTGTGTCCAAACACCATTACTTCTAGCGCTGAAATTGTAACAATTACGTATCGGGATACGTTTATGACGACCGGTATACCACCAAATATTTAAGTATTCCGCCTGTATACCCCTAAATTTTAATGGTGAGGAAAAAGATACATATGTATATTCAGGTAATATGGGTGGTGGTGGGATTGGGCTTGAAGTCTTTCCAAATGATTGGCAACGGGTCCACTTAAAAAATGCCAAAAAGAGCAAAGTATGGACGCTTCGAGAAATCATTAAATTGAATAAACTATTAAAAAAATCAACAGTTTTCATAAAAGTTGTCAAACGTATATTATCTAAGTTACTATATCCATCTTTTCGTCGCGATCATGTGATGTAAGTCAAGTGACATCTCGGCTTTCGTCACCTTGATCTTCATCTTTCGGACCACGATGTTTAATGAGAAAACATTTGCATTAAGGTCGCATCACCTACCAATACGATCGTCCAATAAGTTCCATAATTCACGTATATATGGCGCATTTGTTACTTAACACTTTCAGAATAGCATTACTGTACCCAAAACGCTTGTCTAAAGTTTTGGATTTATGAGGACAATATCCACTGCTGTAATATGATTGAATTTATTTGTAGCATGATTTTACCAATCACACTAACCTTAAAGCAGACTGTAAGTTGGCAGCTAGCCATTAGAAACCACTCTTTATCCGAGCAAAATCAAAGCTTTCTTACAACAACATACTCCTGGCAAGGTTACTGTGATATTATTGATTTATATGGACATTTTAAGTGTGTAAATTTGTATTACTTCTAGGAATAAATTTATTTAAGTTGAAGTTGTTTTATTTGAATAATATGATAAACATACCTTTAGTATTTATCAACAGTTGGATTAGACCTAAAACTTTTAAATGGTGCATGATATAGCAAAAATGTTTCACACGCTGATATTTTCCGTGATAAACGTAGGCTTCTATCTCATTATAAGGTTATGTTTCTCATGTTTCATTTTTCATCATTCTAGTTAGTGTAAAGAAAGTACTTTGCCTGATACACAGATGATCTTTTGCCCATCATGAGTGCTCTTTGCTTAACTTTCATTTTTTATGTGAATGTGTACCAAACGTCATTCATAAAATAGGGTAGGTAATGACATATACTTTTATTCAAAGACAATGGTACATAAAGAATGGTTTTTATTAGAATGTGCACTTCAAAGTCATGTCACATGATTGTGACTTCAATTAATCTTTTCTTGAGCAATACAGATGTGTACAGTAACTTCTATAACTCTTTAAATTATTTGAAATTCAACATCCTTTGCTGTTTAAAGAATTTAAAGTATAATAGTATGGGTGGGTAGATGGAGAACATGGTGTAGCTGCCTTTCAGTTGAATTTGTCCATATATGAAATAAGAACCTCATACATTTATCAGCCGCTTAACTTTCCTTTGGACAGCAGTTACAATTAAAAAGAAAGACTTTGTTGAAAGTTCTTTCATAGTAAAGCGTAGGGCTAGTACTTTTTGGTTTGGAAAGGACTAGTGACATGCAAAATCCACTAGCCCTGAGGGCCAGATAAATGTTTTAGTGAGTGTCGATCCCTGCTGTTTTAAAATAGAAATATAAACAGAAGAATGTTCTGGATTTTCCTTTTCTTCACTTTAAAAGAAGCTATACAATGCACAATGGTTGCCTCAGCATAGACTGTGATTCAATTTGAAGGTAAAATAATTTTTACCAAAGTGGACAGATCTCAATAACTGTTCTTTCACAATATATTGCACATTATCGCATAATACAGAAGAGTGTATTGCAATATATCCCGAATACAAAACTTGGGGCAATACACAGTCCTAATTGTATTTCACTGCTTCTACTCGGGCTTTTGCGGGATTACAGGCGATGTTCTCCATATGGTTCTGCAAAGGTCACACAGTACCTTCCCAATTCTGGAGGTCGGGTTTGATGAATGTCTAGGCGCTACCTTTTCATGATAGAATTTTTTGTGTACTTTAGCACAAGAAAAGCAAGATTTATAGATGTCAACTTCCTTGCTTACTCCTTCATCAGGTACTTTAGCACATATTTATTTATCGGATGATCCTTTTGTGATGTATGTCAAGACTCATAAACTCATGATGAAAGCAATGAATTCCACAGCTATTTACGCGTGCCAAGGTTGTTGGACAGAATCTGAAATTTGAGGATGATTTTGTTGCTCGCGATGTAGTCTGCCCAGAGTCGGTCATTTGTGGAGAAGCTTTTCTAAGAAGCCATTGCATCATGTGTACAGCCAGTGTGTGGAACAGAATAGCAATCCAATCGACTCCTTCACCTGGATAAAGTCGGCTGGTCTTAAACGTAAAACTTAGGGCTTCCGTTTTGCTGCTCAGGACCAGTCACTTCCCACTTGCTATCGCCAAAATGTGATTCTTAAAGAAAATATTAACATGAAATGTCGACTACGTAATGAATTTACAGAAACTGTCAAACACCTTGTCAGTGGATGCCCTTCATTGGCACAAACAGAATTTCTTAAAAGACATGATGGCATCGCTCGCGGCTTCTATAGTCTTTGCCATATCTGTGGCTTTGACTCTGAGGTCCATTCGTGGTACGACCCTGAACATATCCAGGGCGTTATGGAAAATGATGCTTCTAAACTTCTTTGGAATATGCCCATATACAGCCTCAGAAGAATTCCAACCAACAAACCCGATCTTGTCCTTTTTGATAGAGCCAATGAATTTGTTAATGTTTTTGAATTTTCTGCCCCTTTTGACAGCAACGTGATTGGCAAAATTCAGGAAAAGCATGATAAATATGCGGACCTCGCCTTTGAAATATCTCGCTTGCATCCCAGGTACACTGTTGTCAGACTCCCCGTTGATGTCTTGGCGCAAATCAGGAGAGTGTCCAGGTTCTCCACCGGGAGCACAGTCCTTCTGACACTCTGGATAATGTAGAAGGTTGCAGTGGTGAATGTACATATTCTCCGGAAAGTTCTTGGTGTTTTTCACTTGGCACCTTTTCATGGGAGAAGTCCCATTTGCTGTCTCGGCTGCATGTACAGAGGGCAAGGGCCCTGAGCTGATGGTCAGCCTGACTGTGCCAGGATCACCCGAAACCCCTCTGATGCATGTTCATCTTAATCTGTAAAATTCAGCAAGTGTTTGAAAGGGGTAAAGCCAACTGCTGATTTTATGGCCAAAGGGAGAGGGTTCTACAGTAGAGGGGCAGAACAAGCAAATGAGTTCCTTCCAAATGCTTAAAGTTTATAGCGAGGTTCTGATTTTGAGACCGGAGCTGTTTTTTCTGGGATACAAGGGATGAGGAGGACCTGTAGGTATTCTGGACTTGCAGTATGGAGACATTGGCAAACAAACCACAACAATTTAAAAGCAATTCTTGATTTGACAGGAAGCCGGTGCAGGTCTTCTATGACAGGTGTGATATGAGAATGTTTAGATGTTCCGCTGATGATTCTGGCGGCTGTGCTTTGCAACTTTGAGAGGAACTTCTGTGAGATACCAAAAAGGAGACTATTGCTGAAAAGAAACTTGAGATAACAATTCCAAATTGTTCCTTGACTCTCTCCAGAAGGAGTTGGTGGTGGCCTGTCGGCGGAAGGTCAAGCAAGAGCGATGAATAGTCAGGAGAAGTCCGCAGGATACCCCGGTGAGCTGGCTCTGTACTGTGGTTCAGTCTGTAGGCCGATTGAATTTATCCAAAAGTGAAAACACATAAAAGTAAGCACCCCTGGAGACAAATGTTAACAGGTCTCCCGAGTATTTTGGATATGAACTTCAGGTCAGAGACAGTTCTAAAGTTTTCAAGTTAATAAACATACAGATATAATTGGTGGATGTATTTGAGATATTCTCTTCATAAAATTAGCGGATTTGTGAAACATGGTTGCACTTGACGAGAAAAAGGAGAGTGTGTTCCACTCTGCTTGCAGTTCAGTTACATGCTTGATAAACATGCAACAGGTGTGCGACGTGTACAACTGCTTATGTAAATACCTGATACACTCGCTACAGGTGTGAGACATGTATCACCGATGTTGTAAGTCCAGGTGCAAACACTGCAGTAAAATGACCCGGAAACCATTGTCACTCTGAACAAACCTGCTACTGCTCCCAAAACACCAAAAAATATATCTTAAACCGAGTGAGTTGGGGTTTTAAGGCCATTTATAACACTATTTTAATAGTTTCGCGGGACATAGATGTCTACAAGAATATGATCAAAGATTAGATGGGCAACCGATTTTCAGATATTTTTATATTTCCATTTCACATGAACCCTTTGACAAATTCATTGTTAGATTTACAGTTATTACATATTCTATGTCATTTTTCTTATTAATCAGGTCCTTCAACTGGTAATGCACACATGTCATGATCCGTTTCATGAGAAATAGATACGAAATTTAATTGTCTTCAATTTATCATTTATCATCGCCGTATCGCCACAATGTACAGAATAATACAAATACCAGTCCAGACTTCCATTATACCTCCATAATCAGATAGTTTCCCCAGCACAGCAAATCCTGAAAAGGATACATATTTAGGTCAATAGTCTTCTGATATTCCCCATTACAATAATGAGTTTCTATTCGGATAAATTCCAACAACACCTTTAGCGGATCCTCTGCGATTTCATATTAATGCGATATCCATATAGCCGGATATTTGCTGTTTTGGGCAAACAAAAGATTCAAATGACACCGATGACAATAACTCTCTCTCCCATAGTGGAAAGATATCAGAGTTGGATTCTATTGAAAACTTTCGTCACCATTCGACGATTTCAGATCACGATTTTACTCAATACATTTTGCAAGCTTTGGAAAGGCTTCACTATCCAAATCATCTCAACAACAAACTCATGTACATGATCTAAAATTGAGTTTCCTTGGAGCACAGGCCCCGTGGTCCGCTTAAGATTAAGGGTTAAAATATTGGCATTTTTTGAAATGACCTCTTGACTCGAAATGCTTCACACAGTACGTTACATAATGGCAAGGCTAGGAACTCAATGCACCCCACCCGCCTGCCAGAGGGATTGCTTCAATTGTGACCCCGCTAAAAGCGGACATATAGTCATCCATTTGTGTCATGATCAAGAAGTTGAGAGTCAAAATCGGTTTCTATCGACTTGCAGAAATAACAGTAAAGAATTGGTTGGTGTCATGAATGGTGCTGATAGTCCAATCATCCATCTTACATTAAGTTTTTAAACCATGCATGGAGCGGGTGGGGTGCACAGGAAGTGTCTGGCCTTGTCATGATGTATAGTAGTTGGTATAATGATGGTTCTATTACAGGGCACCCTAGGGGACCTATTTTGGCTTAATTCCTCCCACGCCCAGTCAAAAATAGTGATTTTTTTTAGCGTGGGAGACATCAGTATCCTCGGTATTTCTCGATGTCTGTGGTTGGGTTCCCATCTCCCACCAGCAGTAGATACAATACACCCTTGCTTTCTCCTTCTGCAAATGTCTATTTTCCAGGCTCGACATCTAGAAGTTTGGTTGTATCCCTTTGGGAGTGGGGGCTTTTGCAGTCTCTACCACTATGGTTTGCATTTTTCGCTCAGCAGGTCGCTGTAGTCTTGCTTCATCTCTTCGGTTTCTATAGAAGATAGCTTTCTAGGATCTTGGGCAACGACTACGTCAAAGGGATTCCAGAATATGGTCCTTCCATCTTTCTGGAAAGTTCTGGTGGGTTCTGGCCAACAGGGTGTGCAGGCCAACAGGGTATTCTTCGTTGCTGGCAAAGCCTCTTGGTATCCAACACTATTTTCGTCCGTATTTGTCCGTAGTGGTCTCCACAAAGTCGTGGTTCTCTTCCAGCACATGCTCCAATCTGTTGTTTGCCCAAACCACTATTGGCATTTCTACACCTTTTTGCAACAAGACTACTCTGCTGGCTGTTTGCCCTTCCAGATGTTTGCAGCATCCTAGAATAGACCATGCAGTATTTGCAACGTCTGCTATTTTCTTCGTTTGTGTGTTTTATAGAGCTGTTTCTACCTCTTTGCGAGCTTCTTTCGATCTCTTTGTGTATTCCTTGTTCTCCCTTACTATTTCTCCTAGTTGTTCCAGTTCTTTTTCTCTACGCTGCTCTTGTTCTATCTGACGTGCTGTCTTTCTGCTTCTAGGATAGCCCATGCTTCTCTTCTCCATTCTTCCACGCGTGCTGCTTGTTGTATTTTTGCAATCGTTTTCCTCGATCCCCAGCAGATCCAGAATATACTTCTCTGTCTTTTGCAATCTCTGGTACTTCCTGTAGTTGGAATTTGGAAGAAGCCTTGCCCATGCTGCTACATTTGGTTGTTCTCCATTTCCACTCTACTGTCTTGCAAGAAGGCAATAGAATACTTGGATCGGCTCCATTTGGATGTAGCTGGGTTGGGCTTCTACTACCGCAGACAGTATCGCGTTTTTGGCATCTGGATCCTTTTGTATTGTAGTGGACCTAGCTCCACACCAGTATCTGGAGCGGAGCTATATCTACCCAAAAATATTGGACATGCTTGGAACCTAAAAATCTGCTGCAGCCCATTCTATCACTTTCTCCCCACGTAGCATCGCCATCTGTTCTTTGTAGAAGCAATAACGGATCCCAGAAATTCTACCTGTCTCCAAATGTGCATACCAAGCGGTCACTACTAATATGGTGCCCTGTGGGCTTATCTGCCAGAACAAGACAGTGGTCTAGACATTTCGATAGGTTTTCCCATTGTTTTGCTGGTGGTTGTACTCCAAACAAGTTGGTGTCTGGAGGAGATACCATCTCTTGAGTTTGTTCTACCAAATCGCTTTGCTATTTCTTCCGAAAGTTGTGTGGATGTGCGCGAGCGTAAACTTCTATGCGAGTACAACCACGGGCTTGCACGCCTGGATGCAGGAAAGTTTTCACACAAGTGTTGGTTTGGGCAATCCACATATTCGTCAGATGTCCACCGATCTGTTCTCGGACTCTCTCCTGCTTACAAACTTGAAACAACCTTGTTGTAGAGTTTCTGTTCGCATGGTATAGCCATTCCAGGTCTCGGACCCAAGTACAGACGTTAGCCCCAACACTGCCCGTATTGTCTAGCATTGTTGGACTGTTCGACTGCATAGCAGAAGACAAGTCTCCTTGCTCTCGAAACCTTGTTTCTTCCAAAGGTATCCCACCAGTCGCCATGTCCAGTACACCAGAGAAATCTCTTGTACAGTCGATAGAATACAGTCCACAGCCGTGGTACTAGTAGTAGTCGGCGCATTAGTTTAAGAAATCGACGCTTGTAGCTCGCCAATGGGTATTTCAGAAACGCTCTATCTTGCTACTTAATAGAGCATATGCCTTCTTCCCGATGTAGTTCTTGCCAATTTGTCTTTCGCTTTTCTTTCCAGTTTTCTCTCTACTCTAGTGATGGTGCTCCATATTGCTCCACAGTTGTACTGCAAATGGAGATTCTCGTGGCCAGAATTCTGCAGTCTTTGGCGCTGCAGGTAGCCAAACACGATATATCGTCTACGAATGTAGGTAGACCTTCCAAAGGTTGTAGATTTGTTCTACCGAGATTGCCAGCAAGATAGTCGACACCGGCGATATCCGACACAAGATTGCTGTCTACAGTATTTTCTAGGAGTAGATGTGCTCCTACAGACTTTTCGATCCGCAGACCCATTTGTTGGAAAGTCGTTTCGGTTGCCATATGTAGTGCTATACATTGGAACTACCAAATGTTTTGCTGGGGGAAACATGCAAAAAGTTAGTACCAATCCCAGTAGTCCTGACCATTTTTGTGCTCTTGATAAGTATTGTCAGTCCAATGCTCTACCATTTCAATGTCGGGATGGCTGACAGTCACAGTGCGAGTTTAACGGGTCTAGGCTGGCGAGGTCGTCGGGACATCAAATGATTTTTCACTGGACGCTAGGAGAGGAATTAAGCCAAAATAAGCCCATAGGATACCCTGTAATAGAACCATCATAATATGACTACTTGTATTGTACTGTGAAGCATTTCGAGCCGGGGGTCATCTAAATTTTTCAAAATATATTTTTAAAAATCTTTAATCCTCGCAAAGACACGAGGGCATGTGTATTGGAGAGGGATGGGTGAGCATGTCATCGATTATAGTTATTTATACGATCATAAACTATAAAAAACACAATGCCTGTTGGAAAGTTTTCAAGTTTAACATAATATACTATGTTTAATTTGACAATATCCTTTCTTAGTTAAGTGCATATTTTACCATTTCCTGGGTTTGAGTCCAATACTGGAATCGAATCAATACTCTGCAGTAAGATGACTCTGAACAAACCTGCTACTGCTCCCAAAATACCAAGAACCAAGAATCCGAGAATAGCCCGAGCAAGTCGCCAAATCCATTGTTTAAGGATACCTGCAGGTGAGGAGAGTGTGCATATTATATTTGATAAAAGAGACGTCAATGAGCAAAGATACTAATTTAATTAGATGAAAATGTATCCTAAAACGAGTGAATTGGGTCTTAATACCATTAATAACACTATGTCAACTATTTCACAGGTCATAGATGCCTACAACGATATGATCAAGGATTAGATGCTAAAGGGATAACTGTCCTGGAGATTCTGGGGTTCTAACTCAACGGCATCGGAAACGCACAAGTGGTACCACATACGGGCTATCGGTGTCAAGAGATATGTTCACGCACAACCTTCTTCGAATGCATAATGGGAACGACCTTACAATCAGTTTCGTTTGAAAGCTCGAACGAATTTCTATGTGAAAAGAATTTGCTGACGGGCAACAAAGGTTTTCAGATTTTTTTATAATTTCATTTTACTTGAACTCTTTGATACATTCATTGTTGTGATGTGTTTCAAGAGAAATATATGGGAAATTTGAATGTCTTCACATAATTTATCATGGCCGTATCTCCAGAGAATAATACAAATACGAATCAGTCGTTCCATATTTAGGTCAAAAGTCTCACTCATATTCCTCGATACAATGATTAGTTTCGGATTTATTCAAACAACAACTTTAACTGATCCTGTGTGCTTTCATATCGATGAGCCGCCATATAGTCAGAAAATTGCTGTTTGCGGCGTTAAACAAACAACAAAACAAACAAACACCACAAAAAGAATGTTAATTACACAGATAACAGTGACTCTTTGCACTATCGTGGTCAGAGATCGTGCTGCTCCATCATGATCGCCCGTCGTACAGGTAATACAAAAGAAGCACACAAACCGCCCCTTTCACCAGGGGTGAACTTGAACATACCCTGATTAACTATATTTGTTACATATCATTCTAAGATCACTCTATGAAGTAATTACATAGTTCAGCTAAATGAGCGTGGAATCTTAATTAAACGAAACAAACGTAAATCCAATAAAGTGAAATTAAAATTGCCAATCCTCATAATTCTACCTTGCCAATTGAACATATAAATCTCAGAATGTTATTCGACTTAGGATAAAAGTTGTTGAACAAACGATCATAGTTTCAAATCGCTGTTATTGGTTTGTATTAGAAGGGGGTATGTTCATCAAATGAAACACCGAGAATAAGTAGCGTTAACACTCATCACGTACCGCACGTGCATTTGTTTCACTGTTCCAACTACTGCGCTTACCCCCTTTTAATATAAACCAATAATAGCGATTTCAAACTGTGATCGTTTGTAAAACAACTTTCATCCTAAGTTGAATAACATTCTGAAATTTAAATGTTCAATTGGCAAGGTAAAATTATGAGGATTCGCAATCTTTATTTCACTTTGTTTGATTTACTTTTTTGTTTAAAGTGAAATTCATCGGTACATTTTCACTGCAAACAGACTATAACCGCGAACACGTTGTGCTGTGGTAGGCTTTGTACGAGGACTCAAAATACCAAACACTCCAGTCATATCTAGGATATGTACATTACTATCACGAACAGAAAAAGGAAACATGCATATGAATTATCTAAAGGGCTATTTACCCTGTTCAAGTGAAATATAGCCACTTGACTGTCGAGTCTTATCCTGGTTGTAAATATGTTAACAAAGCTAATCATGAAGTATTACGAACATATGTTTCAAGTGGCGAGGACTACAGTACAGACTCAATGATGTGAACATCGTGTGTCTTCAGTTAGTCAACCTTTTCTGTTTACACTTAAGTGATTAACATCAGAATAAAGCATTCAAGGATTTTAAAATTGCTTTACCAGGTATCTGAATATCTCTACTGAAGTTGTAATCTTTTGAATGATAGGAATATCTCAAACATAAGTAATTCTTCCATGAAAGTGATGTATTGACTGTTTTCCTCTTAAAAATATAGAGGCATATATTAAGTCTTGTATTAACCACAGTTTATACGTTTGCGGTTAAGCTTTATGTTGGAATCACTGCAATTCCAATAAAGAAACACAAAAATAGACGAACAGCTTGAAGGTTGTGTTGAAGTGTTAAGAACACGTGGGGTACCACACAATCACGTCACCAGTGTAGACCATGTGTTCTGATCTCATACAATCCATGCAGTGTAACAACACAGGCTTGCTATTTCATCAACTAAAACCAGGTCACCTATGCACAAAAAACCCAAAGCCACATGTTTTCAAAAGACAGTTTCTGTAGACGCTGGATCAAATATGTACATCTGAGTTGGTCCACATTGGAGAAACTATTAACGTACCTTTTATAATGTCCCAGAGATAGGATATCGTCGCACTGAGCAGAGCTGTTGAGAGAATAATTATGAAGTTATACCTGAATACAATAAAGGTATATTATATATACTATCAAAAGTATGGGAACACCCTAAAATTGAGTCACGGATAAACTTAAACGTGGTGATGACATTTACACTCTAAGGTAAATGTAACTTTTTGTGTGCTTAATGGGCACTTTAATCGACATGATGAAATATGCAGTGGAGCAACTGATTCAATATTCATTGAGTTTGAGTGAAATGAAACATCGTCAAAATAGCTAAAAAAGGGTGCTGAAACGCACCAGCACCACGTTTGATTCAAACGCCAAAACACTTCAGACTTGTGCATGTGGAACACAGTCCATCCACAGTTGGGAGAATAGCAGCTAAGGCCAGACAGCTATATCACTGGTCACACTCCGCCCATCATTAGGAACATAGGAGCTACGATAATACAGTTACACACTGGTCACAATGTACGTACAGTTGGGAGAATAGCAGCTTAGTCAAGACAGTTATACACTGGTCAACCTCAACCCACAGTTGGGAGCACAGCAGATTAGACCAGACAGTTATACAATCGTGACACTCCGCTCGTCATTTGGAGCATAGGAGCTATGACCAAACCGTTATAAACTGGTCATACTCCACCCACAATTGCGAGTATAGCAGCTGCGACTAGACACTTACACACTGGTCACACGCAACCCACTGTTGAGAGCATAGCAGCTAAGAGAAGACAGTTATACACTGGCCACCCTCGACCCACAGTTGGGAGCATACCAGCTTAGACCGACAAGACAGTTATATACTGGTCAAACTACACCCACAGTTTTGAGCATAGTAGCCAAGACCGGACAGTTATGCACTGGTCACCCTCCACCCACAGTTGGGAGCATAGCAGTTTAGACCAAACCTATACAAAATAAAACCCACCTGTTTTCAACAGACAGTTTCTGTAGACGGTGGATCAAATATGTACATCTGAGTTGGTCCACATTTGAGAAACTATTAACGTACCTTTTATAATGTCCGAGAGACAGGATTTCGTTGCACTGAGCCGAGCTGTTAGAGAGAATAATTATGAAGTTATACCTGAATACAATAAAGGTATATTATATATCCTACAAACAAAAAGTATGGGAACACCCTAAAATTGAGTCATGGATAAACTTAAACGTGGTGATGACATTTATACTCTAAGGTAAATGTAACTTTTTGTGTGCTTAATGGGCACTTTAATCGACATGATGAAATATGCAGTGGAGCAACTGAGTCAATATTCATTGAGTTTGAAACATCGTCAAAATAGCGAAACAAAGGGTGCTGAAATGCACCAGCACCACGTTTGATTCAAACGCCAAAACACTTCAGACTTGTGCATGTGGAACACATACTTTCTTTTAATGGTTTGCAATCATTATCTGGCTACTCTGCATCACTGTATTACTCCTCTCCAGTTACACACTCCACTCACAGTTGGGAGCATAGCAGCTGTGACCAGACAGTTATACACTGGTCACACTCCGCCCACCATTGGGAGCATAGCAGCGAAGAACAAAAACTTATACACTGGTCACACTCCACCCACAGTTCAGAGCATAGCATTGAAGACCAGACAGTTATACACTGGTCACACTACACCCGCAGTTCAGAGCATAGCAGTGAAGACCAGACAGTTATACACTGGTCACACTCCACCCACAGTTCAGAGCATAGCAGTGAAGACCAGACAGTTATACACTGGTCACACTACACCCGCAGTTCAGAGCATAGCAGTGAAGACCAGACAGTTATACACTGGTCACACTCCACCCACAGTTCAGAGCATAGCAGTGAAGACCAGACAGTTATACACTGGTCACACTACACCCGCAGTTGTGAGCATAGTAGCTTAGAACAGACAAATATACACTAACTGGTCACACTCCGCCCATCATTAGGAGCATCGGAGCTACGATAATACAGTTATACACGGGTCATAATGTATGTACAGTTGGGAGCACAGCAGATTAGACCAGACAGTTATACACTGGTCAACCTCAACCCACAGTTGGGAGCACAGCAGATTAGACCAGACAGTTATATACTGGTCAAACTACACCCACAGTTTTGAGCATAGCAGTTTAGACCAAACCTATACAAAAAAAAACCCACATGTTTTCAAAAGACAGTTTCTGTAGACGCTGGATCAAATATGTACATCTGAGTTGGTCCACATTGGAGAAACTATTAACGTACCTTTTATAATGTCCGAGAGACAGGATTTCGTTGCACTAAGCCAAGCTGTTGAGAGAATAATTATGAAGTTATACCTGAATACAATAAAGGTATAGTCTATATACTTCAAACAAAAAGTATGGGAACACCCTAAAATTGAGTCATGGATAAACTTAAACGTGGTGATGACATTTATACTCTAAGGTAAATGTAACTTTTTGTGTGCTTAATGGGCACTTTAATCGACATGATGAAATATGCAGTGGAGCAACTGATTCAATATTCATTGAGTTTGAGTGAAATAAAACATCGTCAAAATAGCGAAAAAAAGGGTGCTGAAACGCACCAGCACCACGTTTGATTCAAACGCCAAAACACTTCAGACTTGTGCATGTGGAACACATACGTCTTTTTAAATGATTTGCAATCATTATCTGGCTACTTCTGCATCACTGTATTACTCCACCCACAGTTGGGAGCATAGCAGCTAAGACCAGACAGTTATACACTGGTCACACTCCACCCACAGTTGGGAGCATAGCAGCTAAGACCAGACAGTTATACACTGGTCACACTCCACCCACAGTTGGGAGCATAGCAGCTAAGACCAGACAGTTATACACTGGTCACACTCCACCCACAGCTGGGAGCATATAGTAGCTAAGACCCAGACAGTTATACACTGGTCACGCTCCACCCACAGTTGGGAGCATAGTAGCTAAGACCAGACAGTTATACACTGGTCACACTCCACCCACAGTTGGGAGCATATAGTAGCTAGCTAAGACCAGACAGTTATACACTGGTCACGCACCACCCACAGCTGGGAGCATAGTAGCTAAGACCAGACAGACTGGTCAGACAGACAGTCGTACACTGGTCACGCACCACCCACAGTTGGGGAGCATATAGTAGCTAAGACCAGACAGTTATACACTGGTCACACTCCACCCACAGTTGGGGAGCATAGTAGCTAAGACCAGACAGTACACTATACACTGGTCACACTCCACCCACAGTTGGGAGCATATAGTAGCTAAGACCAGACAGTTATACACTAGTCACGCACCACACACAGTTGGGAGCATAGCAGCTAAGACAAGACAGTTATACACTGGTCACGCTCCACCCACAGCTGGGAGCATATAGTAGCTAAGACCAGACAGTTATACACTAGTCACACTCCACCGACAGTTGGGAGCATAGGAGCTAAGACCAGACAGTTATACACTGGTCACACTCCACCCACAGTTGGGAGCATATAGTAGCTAAGACCAGACAGTTATACACTGGTCACTCTCCACCCACAGTTGGGAGCATATAGTAGCTAAGACCAGACAGTTATACACTGGTCACACTCCACCCACAGTTGGGAGCATATAGTAGCTAAGACCAGACAGTTATACACTGGTCACCTCCACCCACAGTTGGGAGCATATAGTAGCTAAGACCAGACAGTTATACACTGGTCACGCTCCACCCACAGTTGGGAGCATATAGTAGCTAAGACCAGACAGTCGTACACTGGTCACACTCCACCCACAGTTGGGAGCATATAGTAGCTAAGACCAGACAGTTATACACTGGTCACACTCCACCCACAGTTGGGAGCATATAGTAGCTAAGACCAGACAGTTATACACTGGTCACACTCCACCCACAGTTGGGAGCATATAGTAGCTAAGACCAGACAGTTATACACTGTCACACTCCACTCCACACAGTTGGGGAGCATATAGTAGCTAAAGACCAGACAGTTATACACTGGTCACACACCACCCACAGTTGGGAGCATAGTAAGCTAAGACCAGACAGTTATACACTGGTCACACTCCACCCACAGTTGGGAGCATATAGTAGCTAAGACCAGACAGTTATACACTGGTCACGCTCCACCCACAGTTTGGGACATAGTACACTGGTCAGACCAGACAGTTATACACTGGTCACGCACTCACCACCCACAGTTTGGGAGCATAGTAGCTAAGACCAGACAGTTATACACTGGTCACGCTCCACCCACAGTTGGGAGCATATAGTAGCTAAGACCAGACAGTTATACACTGGTCACGCTCCACCCACAGTTGGGGAGCATAGTAGCTAAGACCAGACAGTTATACACTGGTCACGCACCACCCACAGTTGGGAGCATATATAGTAGCTAAGACCAGACAGTTATACACTGGTCACGCTCCACCCACAGTTGGGAGCATAGCAGCTAAGACCAGACAGTTATACACTGGTCACGCTCCACCCACAGTTGGGAGCATAGCAGCTAAGACCAGACAGTTATACACTGGTCACGCACCACCCACAGTTGGGAGCATATAGTAGCTAAGACCAGACAGTTATACACTGGTCACACACCACCCACAGTTGGGAGCATAGCAGCAAAGACCAGACAGTTATCCACTGGTGACGCACCACCCACAGTTGGGAGCATAGCAGCAAAGACCAGACAGTTATACACTGGTCACGCACCACCAACCGTTGGGAGGATAGCAGTTAACAACAAACAGTTATACACTGTTGACGCTCTACCCAGAGTTGGGAGCATAACAGCTAAGACCAGACAGGTATACACTGGTCACACTCCACCTACAGTTGGGAGCATAGCAGCTAAGACCAGTCTGTTATATACAGATCACATTCCACCAACAGTTCGGAGCATAGCAGCTAAGACCAGACACTTATACACTGGTCACATTGAACCCACACCTGGCAGTATAGTAGCTAAGACCAGACAGTTATTCACTGGTCACATTCCATCGACAGTTGGGAACATAGCAGCTAAGACCAGACACTTATACACTGGTCACATTTCACCGACAGTTGGGAGCATAGTAGCTAAGACCAGACAGTTATACACTGGTCACACTCCCCCCACAGTTGGGGGCATAGCAGTTGAGACCAGACATGTATACACTGGTCACACTCCACCATCAGTTGGGAGCATAGCAGCTAAGACCAGACACTTATACACTGTTCTCATTCCACTGACAGTTGGGAGCATAGCAGCTAAGACCAGCCACTCATACACTGGTCATATTACATCGAAAGTTGTGAGCATAGCAGCCAAGACCAGACACTTATACACTTGTCACATTCCACCCACAGTTGTGAGCATAGTAGCTAAGACCCCACTCTTATACACTATTCACATTCCACCTACAGTTGGGAACATAACAGCTAAGACCAGACACTTATACACTTGTCACATTCCACCGACAGTTGTGAGCATAGCAGCTAAGACCAGACACTTATACACTGGTTACACTCCACCCACTATTGGGAGCATAGCAGCTAAGACCATACACTTATATACTGGTCACTCTCCACCAACAGTTGGGAGTATAGCAGCAAAGAACAGACAGTTATACACTGGTCACGCACCACCCACAGTTTGGAGCATAGCAGCAAAGACCAGACAGTTATATACTGGTCACTCTCAACTAACGGTTGGGAGCAGAGGAGCTAAGATCAAAAAGTTATACACTGGTCACGCTCTACTAACAGTTGGGAGGATAGCAGCAAAGACCAGACAGTTATACACTAGTCACTCTCCACCAATAGTTGGGAACATAGGAGCTCAGACCATACACTTATACTTTGGTCACTCTCTACCAACATTTTAGAACATAGTAGCAAAGACCAGACAGTTATAAATTGGTCACACACCACCCACAGTTGGGAGCATAGCAGCAAAGACTAGACAGTTATACACTGGTCACACACCACCCACAATTGGGAGCATAGCAGCAAAGACCAGACAGTTATATACTGGTCACTCTCCACCAACCGTTGGGAAAATGGCAGTTAACAACAACCAGTTATACACTGGTGAC